GCTTGTGAGAGGACTCACTTAAATAAAAGGACTGATGAGGTGAAGCCATTAGAAATATAAACAAAGTGAGCACAAAATGAGGTTGGCAGGATTAAAAATGTTACTTTTAAATTCTACTGTAATATAATATTTGCTATCTCTTCAGTTTTAGGCCTCTAAAGACTGATTAAGGTTGACTGTTAAGGTTTTGCAGTAAACCTAAAGTTAAACAGAAATGTACAATGATCACATGAAGAATAAATGCTGTAAGCTTGTAAGATCAATTAAGTTTACTTTAGATATAGTTTGTCACCTACAGAATGTGTGTTCATTAGTTTTTCCAATGCTTTTGCATTTGTCTAAAAGTGACGTTTTTTTTAAGATTTTCTTTCCAGTCTAAAATGTGTTTTACAGAGATTTTTGGAAAAAAAAAATGTTGGGGTATAGTTCTTTAGCGTTTTTTTGTTTTTTACAAGTTAAATTTAAAAAAAAGCCTGTATTTGTATTGGGCACATTAGTTTGGAGAATCACCTTTTGTTGTGAAAGGAACCAGAGAAATCCAGATATCATCTGTGCATATAAAACTTTCCACAATCTTCTTTAAAAAATATTCTAAGCTGGACCTTATAAGGTAGAGTATGAACATCACTTTTCCCATCTCTCCTAAGGCTGTTCTATTCAAAATAATATTGTTTTATCATACAGACAGAGCTCTATTAATGCACCTTTGGGTGTATGCGGAGTCTTCTTGTTTTGTTTTTGTTTTCTGAGAGATAGACTTTTATGAGGTTCATCTAAAGATTTATTGTCCATGTTGCTTTAACCATCTTCTTAGTAGCTTAGACTAGCTTTAATGTACTGGCTAAAGAGAACCCATCCTTCAGCATAATGCTGCCACCATCAGGTTCCATAGTAAAGACGTCTTATGATGTTCAGTGCTAGTTTACATCTACATATATAATTTTGCATTTGGGCTTCATCTGACCAGAGCCTCATCTTCCACATCAGAATCCAAATCTGTTTTCACATCAAATTTGTACACACACACAAAATAAAGGAATATGATTTGGTTAAACCTTTCTCTCAAATAACCATAATAGAAAAGCATATGTATATGTGAATAAATATATAGAACATGTATTGATATATACAGTGTTGTTGTTTTTTTTTCCAAAAGAGGAAAATGGTTTGGCACTTTGACTTTTATGTGTTGAGAAGGGAATTATCTCTGTGGTGGCTGTAAAAAGTGATCTGTAGTGCTGACCTGAAGTTTTAGGGCTAAGGAGGCTGTGTGCAGGGTGTGAGGCATCTGCAAAGATCTTAGCTGTCCTTCTCCTTCTCAGAGCAAATGTTAGCCTCTACAGTCCCCTCAGATCGAATTCTTCATTACAGTTTTAGCCTGTCCTGTTCTGTGGTTGTGCCGAACCACACAGGGATGGATGTGCACAAAACAAATAATTCCAGCAGCTCCTGTTAAAGTTTGTAGTAGGGCTGGGCGATAATTCAATAACGATATATATCGATCCATAGACGTGTGGCGCAATAGAAAAAAAGAGGGTCGATAAAAGTTCGATAAAAAAGAAACGCTCTTTTCCTTCCTTCTCATTGTAGCCTAGCATGTAGGTTTATGCTAATCACTGCTTCCTCCCAACCAATCACAATCGCGGACCCAGGTACGCCGTCACCAAGCGCCGCCCTCTCAAACCACAACACAGAGCACATGAAGCTGTGCAGCAAGGAGAGGCGGAGGAAATTGTTCCAAAGAAGGGTTTTTGTAGTTCGGCAGTCGGGCAGTATTTCGGTCATGGCAAGTCGGACCAAAAACAAACCACAGTCATCTGGAAAATGTGTCGGGAACCAGTGAAAACCAAGTCTTATAACGAAACCAACTTTTTTTAATCATCTCAGCCGCTCACACCCGCAGGAGTACGAGCTGTGTAGGCCCCGACGCGGCTCTCCACCGAGGAATCTTCGGAAAATATATATATATTTTCAGTTCTGGGCAGTTTCCCACGTAGTTCTAACAATTGAGATAAAAATGCTGAGGGGCCAGAAACTTCAAAGTAATAACTCAGGTTAAAGCAGGAAACGGGGGCGGCGGTGGGGGGGCATTTATTTATTTGTTATATTTATTTTGGTCACTTTTCTGGTCACTTTAGTTTATTCTTTTTCAGTATTTAATAACATAACTCAGGTCTCTTAAGTTATTTTTCTTTAAAACAATTCTGTTATGGTTAAAAAAGTTGGTTAAATAAAGATTTAATTCGAAGTCTGTTTGTGTTTTTTATTAAAATTAAATCATTTAGCAATATGATAAAAAGTCCAGGCAGACCTGCACATAAAATATGGTTTCAAATCTTTTCAATAATTATCTATATCGATCAATATGCATTTTTTTTTTATCGATAAGCTTTTTTTCTATATCGCCCAGCCCTAGTTTGTAGTTTGCATGTGTCACCTGAGTCACAGGTTTTTAACAAAGAAGAGAGGGGGATGCTTTCCTTTAGTTCGCCATGAACTCAACTGTCTTGAGCAGGTTAAGCTCCAGGTGTTATTTTCAAGGAAAGGTGTCATATGCGAACTTAAGCAGGTGGGTCATCTGAGATGCAATCTTTTGTGTACAGGGAGAATAGGAGTGGGGGGTGCAAACACACCACTAGGGGTCATCAGTGCTGTCCTTGATTTTGTTGTTGTTGTTTTTTAAAACTAAATTACCTATTGAGTCTAGATTTTATTTAGGGTCATTATTGATAAGGGTCATAAAAAATATTGCAAAATAAAAAAATCTAGAATTGTTTTACTTTACCACTATACATTGTTTGTACAGCAGGGGCGGAGCTCGATGGGGGGCCAGGGGTGGCCATGGCCACCCTTAGCCAATCCTGTGGCCACCCCTGTGGCCACCCCTACCATTTATTTCCCTCTAATACAGATGATGGCAGCAGTAATACTCTGTCGAATATTTATAACATTTTCCATATATTAACAATTACTTAACAAAAAAAACACTTATTAATTATGCACATCAATATTCTAACATTAAAGACGATAACTACTGAATGCATGCTCTTCACAAATATAAATTTTTTTATGGGGTAAAGAGAAAATGTCTCTGCAATAATATACTTTTTTAATAAAAACTTATTAAATAATCAATTAATGTAGATATTAGCACTTGGAAATATCAATTTTATGCAGAATTATTACTGATAAAAGTAGGTAAGCAACGACAAAGGACGTTCGCCCAAAACTCAAACCTGAAAGAATATTATCCAGTATACCTTTTATCTAGAATGTGCGGATGTTTGAATATATGTGTCTATTTGTTAGCAAAGGGTGCGGGGAAAGTATAGTTTGTCTTTCATTTTGAAAATATGGATGTTTTGCTCGTTAATTTTCCTGTTAGAACAGCGTAGATTGACCCTGACGCAGAGATGGGAAATGTGGAGTCAACAAATCATCTCCATGTCTTGTTTTTACCTATCTACCCAGCCAATTAACCAGTTGAGTCCAATCTGCACAGGTTAATTCACGGTGAAGATTGGACTCACCTGCTTCAGTGGGTGGGTAGAACAAATACATGACATGGAGATTACTTATTGACTCCACATTTCCCATCTCTGCCCCGAGGTTTTGGTGCCTATCTACTTTCGGCCAACCCTCAGTGTACATTGGTTATTGCCTGGCCACCCTCATAAAAATTTTCTGGCTACGCCTCTGTTGTACTATTATATAGCAATAATTTGGAATCTGACAAATATCTTTAAAGTTTAATATAGAGCCTAATTACAGTCATTTTAAAGTCTTTCCTTCTGTATTCAGAGGCCATGATGAGTCAATTTGCTTGGAAATAAGATAACATTCTAATCATCCCTATCATTTGCTCTGTAATATCCGGCTCTGTGAGGACTTTTCCATTTTCTATACCATGGTCCTTCAACCAGGTACTGGTAGCTTTGGCACTGTGTGCAGGTGCCAAGTCCTGTTGGAAAATGAAATCTGCATCTCCAAAAAGTTGGTCAGCTGCAGGAAGCATGAAGTGCTCTAAAACTTCCTGGTATGTGGCTGCGTTGACCCTGGACCTCAGAAAACACAATGGACCAACACCAGCAGATGACATGGCACCCCAAACCATCACTGACTGTGGAAACTTTACACTGGACTTCAAGCAACGTGGATGAAGTGCCTCTCTTCTTTTCCTCCAGACTCTGGGACCTTGATTTACAAAGGAAATGCAAAATTTACTTTCATCAGAGAACATGACTTTGGACCACTCACCAGCAGTCCAGTCCTGTTTCTCTTTAGCCCAGGCAAGACGCTTCTGACGATGTCTGTGGTTCAAGAGTGGCTTGACACAAGGAATGCGACAGCAGAAACCCATGTCTTTCATACGTCTGTGTGTGGTGGTTCTTGAAGCACTCACTCCAGCTGCAGTCCACTCTTTGTGAATCTCCCCCACATTTTTGAATGGGTTTTGTTTCACAATCCTCTCCAGGGTGCGGTTATCTCTCTTGCTTGTACACTTTTTTCGACCACATCTTTTCCTTCCCTTCGCCTCTCTAATAATGTGCTTGGACACTGAGCTCTGTGAACAGCCAGCCTCTTTAGCGATGACCTTTTGTGTCTTGCCCTCCTTGTGCAAGGTGTCGATGGTCGTCTTTTGGACAACTGTCAAGTCAGCAGTCTTCCCCATGATTGTGTAGCCTATAGAACTAGACTGAAAGACCATTTAAAGGCTTTTGCAGGTGGTTTGAGTTAATTAGCTGATTAGAGTGTGGCACCAGGGGCCATCAATTTTGAACCTTCTCACAATATTCTAATTTTCTGATATGATGAATTTGAGATTTTCATTTGTTGTCATTTGTAATCATCAAAATTAAACAAAATAAACATCTGAAATATATGAGTTTGTATGTAATGTATGAATATAATATACAAGTTTCACTTTTTAAATGGAATTACTGAAATCAATCTACTTTTTCATGATATTCTAATTTTATGACCAGCACCTGTATATTGGCTGTTCATTTGATCCCAGGGGCTGCCCTGCTCTCCCTGATCCGCTGCTGATCAGCGCGTCTCCAAGATGCGCCAGTTGCGTGAAAGAGCCGTCTGATCGCTCTATAGTGGAAATTCTGATAGAGCCGAATATAATCTGATAAATCAACCGCATCTGTTAGTTGAAGGGCGCGTTTACGTAAGCCGTGTTTTGTTGTTGCTATTAGGTGTCATTTTGCGCCCGGTGCTGGATGCCTCGTGGATTATTTCGCCAAGGAGATGTGAGCTGGGGCTCTCCCTCCCTCCTCCCTGCAGCAGCAGCAGCAGCAGACACGGAAGCTCGCTCAGACAGCTGGTCTGCAGAAACACCGTAAACAATTGCAGGCAGCTTCTTTATAAGAAAAAAAAAAACGCGTCTCCGCTGCAGCTTCTGCACCCCGACTCAAGGCAAGTGTGCTCCTCTCCATCTTTATGTTTGTTATTTTCTCAATATGATGGTGCAATGGAAACAGCTTCCATAGCTATTACATAAAATGAACGGAGGGCAATTTGGGAACATGACACGACGTGGTTCATGCCTTTGCATGATTTTGCCTGTGTGCGTTTTATTTGTTTGGACTTTTCTACTGTGTGAGGCAGCGTGCAGGTGTAGCCTAACAGAGAGATCAAGAAATGGCGAGATATAGGGAGATGGGCAGAGCAAAGGGAATGAAAGCTGGGTCTTCCAGGACTGTGAATACACATGGGTTAGTGTCTCTGTGAAGAAAGTTGTTTTGATGGAGGGATGAAGCTGGAAAGGAGAAGGACGTTTACCCTGCATGCTTTATTTGAAAGATTTCAGATCCCATGCCACTCTGTTTAAATCTATTATTTAGTGTTGTGCAGTTTTTATGTTACAAAAAAACATTCAGTTATTATCTTTTTACTGACTTTCTTAACACATTTTAAAAGGGTTGGTAAATCTTAAGTATGGACCAGTGCCGGAACAAAGTTGTACAGGGCCTTAAGCGGATTTTCTTATGGGGACCAACTTCTTTTTTAAACCATTACACCTACAGAGTATTTTTGGTACTTGTAAGAAAACACCAATTTGTCCGGTTACCATTTAGGAGAAATAACAAGATGACTCATCAAGTCTGAATTCCAACTGAGAAAGTTGGATCTCGCAAGGACCGTTTCTCAATTCACTAGAACGCGAGTACGGACTCGTATTCTCACCGAGTATGTTCTTGACTAGAACACAGGAAAGTCTGGACTTGGTGAGAACGCGAGCACACAGCATAGATATGGGTCAATCGGAACAGAAGCGTACTCATGACGTCGTCTAGAGCTGCCTTTCACCTCCTGTTATTAATAGTCTCTATAATAATAAATTCTGACTTTTTTCATATAGGGAATAATAATTAACAAAGTCAGATAAACACAAATCAAATGAACATTTTGCCAAATAAAACAAAAAAAATCGCCATCAAAGCCGGCGGTCCTTTACACACGGCTATGCCGAGAGAGGGCTGCTGCAGACGGGCTGCAGTTAGCCCTGGCTGCTGTTACCCTCGGAGCTCTGCTGATTGCCCCGGCCCTCTCAACTTCGGAAATCTTTCTTTTAATTACACATTAAATCGGTAAATGGACCATATAGTGACGCTTTAAAGTATAATATTCTCGCCTCAAATGATCTTAAAACATACTTTTATTGAATAACAGCAACAGAAAGAGAACTTTTAACTTTCAATGCAGCGCTCCATTGAAAGCTGCTGCAGTGCATGATGGGACAGCTGTCAATCTCAAGAATGGACAAGTCTGCTCTGATGCATACCCGATAAAGAGGGCGGGGCGAAAACAACATCCAGGCATTTGGTGCGTTCTCGGTCTGGCGTTCTCGGCAATTGGAACAGTGCTCGGGCTGAGGCTGATGACGTGTCACGAGCACACGAGAAAGCTCAAGAACGCATATTGAGAAACGGCCAGGGTTTTTCAATTCAATTAAAGAGGCATGAAGGAGTTTTCTAACGATACTGCCACATGTGGCAAAGCCACAGAACTGCAGCACTCTTCTGCTGATTCTTGTATTTTTTTTCCCCTCTTCTTTTCTTTTTCCCCTTACCTGAAATTGCCATTGGTGTCTAAGTTGAGCTGTATGCCGGTCACTTCTGAGTAACTATACAGTACATATAACGCTTTAGTTGTTTGTTAGGTTGGACCCATTTAACACGGGTGTACTTGATGTCATATCTGCAGAACAGTGCATGAACTTTTGACTCGAAGTGCACATAGAAAAAAAAAGGCTACATGCTTATAGATGCATCAGAGCTGAACTACTGAAGTTTCGGCCTGCTCATCAAGTTATGTTTAAGTTGCAAAGGGTAAAAAAACAAACAAAGTATCTCTCAAGGATATTTTTCAGTCACAACTTGCAAAATGTCCCCCTAGCTTCTGCTTGCTGTACCTTTTTTTAACAGAGCATCAGGGAATAAACAGCAGTGTGACGATCGATGAATGTAAAAAGCTTCGGGAGGAAGGTATAACTTAACAAGTCATTGCAAATATAACCCTGAAAACATACCATCAAGAAAACAGAGCAGTGCTGGACGATCCTGAATTTAAAACATCCTGACCAAAGAAATATGATCATTTGAGATTTATGTCTTTGTGTGAACATTTGTTCTTGGTCCCCACGTAAATTTGGGGGCTCGAAGAAGTAACTTACTTGTGTTTTTTTGGGCAAACTTGTGACAGTCTGGTCCTGCATTAAATGATAATAATAAAAACATAGCTTTACAATGCACTGATGTGATTATAGTAATAATCAGTTGCTGCATATTTCACATCTTGTTTTATTATCTTTTCTAAAACTTGTTTGTGTTGTTTTTCAGCCTTTATTCACCAAAGTGCTTGGGACTCCTTCATTCTTGAGATATATTTTCCTGAAAATGGGACCCTAATGAACCTTTAGAGGATTGAGAACAACTGCTAGAATGTTGCAATCCTCCTCCAGAAAAGGTAAAACTTTACCTTTCTGTAAGTTACAGAATAATTTGCAGAGATGCGCCCTGTTTCTCGCCCTCTGCTCGGCTTCCCTCTGGCTTCCTGAGGCTGAGGGTTCTACACTGAACTGCCATACCACATGCATCTGCGCCTCCAATATCGTCAGCTGCTCCAAGATGAACCTGAGTGCTGTTCCAACCAGTCTGCCACTCTACATGGCTGTGCTGGATCTCAGTTACAATGAGATAACTCGTCTGAGATCAGAGTGGACCCCAGAGAAACTTCCAAAGCTTCACAACCTGCTGCTTAGCCACAATAAACTTAGTTTCCTTTCCTCTGAAGCTTTTACAAATGTGAAGCACCTGCGCTACTTGGACTTGTCCTCCAACAAACTGCAGAAGCTGGATGAGTTTGTTTTTGAGCCTTTGGTCAATCTGGAGGTCCTCTTGCTCTACAATAACCGAATTTCACAGATTGACAAGACAGCCTTTTCTACCATGGAAAACCTTCAGAAGCTGTACCTGAGTCAGAATAATATCTCCCGCTTCCCAGAGGAGCTGATAAAAGACAGGTACCGCCTGGAGAAACTAAGCCTGCTGGACGTGTCTTCCAACAATATCAAAAAGATTCCCATAGATGACCTTAAGGCGCTCCCTGCCTCGATTAAAAATGGCCTCTACTTCCACAATAATCCCCTGCCGTGTAACTGTAACCTCTACTCACTCCTGGCACAGTGGCATATTCGAAAGTTTAACTCTGCTGTGGACTTCATTGACGAATACACATGCACCCTGCCTAATTCACCGAAAACCCAGATTTTCAATCTCAGTGGGGAAAGCATGAACTGCAGCACATTCAAAGAGGCAGACGAAGAGGCATTCCTGGAACAAACACTGATCCTCAACTGTGACACCAAACACCAGAACATGACAAAGACTTGGACTTTGCCTGGGAACATGACTTCTGGAGACAACCAGACAGTAAAGGTCCTCCCAAACGGCAACCTGCGGATAAGTCCTGTGAGGTATGAGGACTCCGGGACCTACACCTGCTTCGCTGCGAGCGAGAAATTTAATGAGACCATCTACGTAGTGTTGAAGGTTTACAACTTCACCATGCATGGTGCTGGGGAAACATTCAACACCGCTTACACTACCTTGGTGGGCTGCCTGGCCAGCGTAGTGCTGGTGCTCATGTACCTCTACCTGACACCATGCCGCTGCTTCTGCTGCCCTAACAAGGGTAAGACCAGGGGTGAGGACAGCATTCACTCCTCAATGCTTAGTGTCACTCCCACCCATGAAGACCCAACACTCAAGGCTGAGCTAAACAGGCACGTTGCTTTCATCGACTCCAAAGACTTGCAAGGCCAGAACGGCAAGGTGAACCCCAACGGGGATGAGGAAAATGATGATGCGGATGGGGAGGCTGGCTCTCTCATGAAAGGGAAGAGGAAGAAATCGGTAGCAGAGTCCATTAGCTCCGTCTTCTCAGACACTCCCATGGTGGTTTGAGTCGACAATGACAGTAATGGCACATTAAGAGCCATAATTTATTGAATTTTAACTCCGACTGTGACCTTGTGCAAGAAAAGATTAGAGGAATGGATAGCAAATGTGTGACGGCATCTCAAAGGGAATTCAAAGGAAGAAGTCGTGTTGTCGAAAAGAACAATAAGCCGGACTTTTCCAGCGTTTCGATCTGTAGCAATTACTATTCATACTGTGAAGGAAAGGAGGCAAAGACAGGCTGTGAAACCTTTTAGGGGAGATGATATGTAGTTATCAGTACTCAGGAAGCGATGTACTGCAACCTTTGGTGAATTTAAAAATGCACAAGATCTCCAAAACCATCTTAGATTTAGTATGAATTAAATCTGTGTTTGGCTCATGGTTATATATATGAAGAATTAGAATAGACTGCATCATATCACACCCTCTTTCTATCAAAACAAGGACAGAAACTGACATTGCCAGGCTCTGAGTAGAAGTGACATTCACCTTGAGTTATATTTAGTGACAGTGCATGCCATAAATCCCTATTATATCCTGCTGCTCCAGAAAGCAAGGCAAGAAAAAATTTTCTCAAAATTCTAAACAGAAAAAGGTTTTCACACTATTTTTCACCTGATCCTGAGCTGATCCAGACTGATCCTGTTTTGGATTATGGAATAACCCTGTGCATAAATAATCGTGCATTAAAACTTCCACCTTACTGTTACTTTACATCTACGGTGAAAACCAAATAACATTTTGTCCGCCTTTCACATGCAGTGTCGCCTGTAGATACACATAAGGTGCAGAGAGGTACTTTGTTCTGACTGATTATTAACATGTTGTCTGAATTCTGTAAACAGATAGGTACCAAACTCCTTACAAGGACAGAGGCTGCTCTGGTTCTCCTCCACCGAGGTGCCACATGCTGTTAAATTTTCCTCTTGGCAAAGTCACAGCATCAGTCTTGCTCATTCAAAGCTCAAATGCTTCACCTATGCTGTATTATACTATTTGGTGCACCTTACAGAACTCTGCAGTTTTTTAATCATCAAACTTGTACTCAGATGTAATCAATAGGATTTAGTTTAAATAAAGTAGGGCTTCATCAATAGTTCCCAGTGTCTACCTGAAACGTAGCAGCTTGTTTTCTTCTTTGCTCTCTATAATGGGATGTTTGTTGTGTTAGCAGTAAAGCGTTAGAGTTTCAGTTAGAAAAACCTTCATGTTTTCTGTCTTAGATATAAATTTATAGATACTATTAATAAAGATGAGGCTGTACATTACTGGCAGGGAAAAAATACTTTTAGCTTTTAAGCATTTGAAAATATTTATTTTTAAACAATTTGTTCAGTATTATTGAAGTGGGGTTCTGTTAAAAGGGTATAAGCTGTTATTAACCTATCTGCTGTAGATAACTCCTGGTTATCTAATTTAGAATAAATTTAGAGGATTTCTCCCCCATGTTGAAGCAAGCAGCTAATCCGAAAGGTGCTAACACCTCTTATCATCTTTCACATTGACCCTAGCTCTTTATTCAAATGCTATTTAGCTTTTAAATCATCTGGTTTTGATACCTTGAGTTTTTCCGTGGAGTATCAAACTGCAAGCTGGTTCTATTTTAGGTTCCTACCTTCTTATTCCTCACCACTCTGTCCTATTCAGGTTCATGCATTTTTTACTCTCCTGTCCAGATGCCTGAACAAATCCCTTCTTTGACGTGTATTTCTGACCCCTGACCCCAACTGCATTGTTGTCTCCTTAATTATCTGCCATAAATGTTCCTATGCAGTCAGGAACCAGAAGACAGCTTGAAAAGTTTTCAATCTGACATGTGTCATCTACAAATAATGCAGTACTTAAAGTTTAAAGAGTTTGAGACGAAGGGGCCCCTTTAGTGACGTTTCTCCATCTTCTAAGATTTTGCAACCATACTATTGGTTATGGAAGAAGGATGTTTTTTTTCCAATGGGAATAGAAGTGTCAGCATTTTAGCACTGAGTAACTGATATAAAAATTAAGTAGTATAAATAATTGAAATATTGTAGCAGTAAATAAATGGAGCTTTATAAATTTTTATACTGTCATAGTTTGCTAGAAGGGTGTTAATCCGACAGAAACACAACTAGGCGTTCCATGAAGTATCCTTTTTTTATGCACATGAAGATCAGTGGTTCTACTCCACCTAATAAGACTATTTCCTCTGTAAATATTTAATAGCTTCAAATTAGTGTAAAATGGAAATACTGCATTTCTTTTGAGTGAAGCAGTTTTAAGACCAGAATGAGTTACCTGCAGATGGTAGTTTTCCAGTCAGAGAAATTGTGGAATAGAGGTGAAAAAGAAGCGTTTAAACCAAGAAAAAGAATCTAACTAAAAAAAAAAACTATTTTTTTCTTTTTTATATATCCAAAAAGTTGTTGAATTAGATCTTTTCTGTTCTGTTCCCAACACATTACTCTAAGGAAGAGTGATGTTTTTGGGGCACCACTCTGATCTCCATTTCCTGTGTATCAACTGGAAAGTGCAATGATGAATCGATTACCCATCAGTGAAACCCTTCTATAAAAGCCTGTAAGGATTTTAGGATTAGGGTTTCTTTAACATTTGGTTTGGGGATGTCATTTTTAAACAAGCCAGCATGATTCATGCTAAATATTTTTGCAAAACATATTTTTCTTTGTTCTTTAAGCACACCAACATATTTCTGAGGACACAAAAATAGAGGTTTAGAACAGAAAATGATCTTCAAAATGGTTTATACATACAAAAGCAACGCTATTTTGGTCTTGCCCCATTTGATAAGGGTATGAATGTTATCTTTTGGGGTAATTGATAATTGCTTATAGTTCTCTTATCAGAACCTCTTCAAAAGTCCTGAACTATCCCTTTGAATACCTAAAACATATCCTGCCATACAAGATATGAGTATAACCTTAAACAATGATACAGGCTAGAAGGAGCAGTTTTACTAAACTGTGCTGGGTTTATGTTGCAGCACAACACAGTCAGCTGAGTGTAAATGCTAATTGCATCTTTTGATTGTAAGAAGCTTCAGTCTGCTTTCCATGTCTTTGTCTTTTTGAACCAGTGGGGATCGATCATGTTATCGTGAGTCACCGCAGCACAACAAGAGGCATTTTCTTTGCCTCCGTGTATACTGACAGCCTCAATTCAGCCCAGATGCGTTTTCTTTGTTTGTGCCTTTCCTTGTCATTATAAAGCTGCCCTTACTAAGGCCCGAAAGCAATCATTCAGCCAGGCAAAGAATGTCCTTTAAGTAGTCTGCAATTTGTTGAGAGGGGAAACGCCTGGAGCTTCTATCAAGCAGTTGAACTCCAACTGAGTCCTATGGTTGAATAGTGCAACATACTCTAGTCTACTACATCCTTTATCCCTTTCAGTTTAATTCTAGATCTAAAATTCTAGAAAATAGATAATTATATTTGATAATCTTTAAAACTTAAATTCTATTTACACGTTTCTGGGTGCAATGTTTTCTTATGGAAATTGGTGAAATATTAACAGTGACTTGCTGCACCGCAGCATCTCCTGAGTGGGTGAGAAAAGGAAGTGACACTTGTCAGAGAGGTGGTGTGTGCGAATCATATCACTCCGTCACACACTGAAATGCCAGGTGGAGAAACAGACAGCAGCAGAAAATATCAAGTCACACTTAAAATGGGCTGCATATAGAAACCTCAGAGATGGGAGGCATCTCTTTAAAAGGCTTTTCACTATTTTCTTCCAGTTGCAGCTAGAATCTGCTTTCATTCATCCGATTTAAAGTTCTGTCACTTGCATGAGAAGCTGAGATCACAAGATATGAGGCTTTTGAGTAATTCAGCAAACAATACTGAGAGGAGAAAGGCTTCTTTGTTGGACTCCACTGTTCAGTTCATATCATAGTTCTGTATGCCCAATGTAAGTGCTTTTGCAGTTGTTTCCAGCAATGAGGGAAATCATGACTTTGTTTTTTTTCTCTAAAGCAAATCAGCCTTTGTGCATATCTATATTAACTGCATATATCTATATATATACATATAAATGTATGTTTTAGGACTCACATTCTGTGTTCAGTATTGATAAGCTGTGTACTGTTTTAATGTATTTTTGTATATTCCAATACTGTTCATTTTGCATTTTTCTGCCTTTGTGCTAATGTTAGCTGTTCTAACATACAAGTCTTATTATAGATGTTTATTTTCAAGAAGGGTGGGAATTTGTTATTTTTTTCATTGAAATTACTGGGAAGAAACAAAAAAAGGTGTCTGAAAATATGATCAAAATCTGCATGGAAAGAGGTTTCTTTTTTCATATATTAAGAAGTATAAATCCTAATCAGCAGTGAGAAGACTGTATGTAGCCACCAGTTACATTCAATCAGTGTTGGATACTGTTCCAAAAGCCATATAAAATTTGAAACACAGTGCTTTAAGAGATACGCCATACGACACAGGGAGCTCCTGGCACGGGGAGACAGGGATATGGGAAACATGGGAGGGTTTGAAAAGCTTACAAATCAGTAGGTAAAAAGATTTCCTCAGGACTATGTAATGTATTTGAAAATTTGCTCACATTTGCAGTATCTTAATATTTCCACGCCTTTCAGGCTCTTTGCTCTAAGTTCAGAAAAAAATGTAACCGGACTAAAAAGGGAAAGAGCGTGCTCTCATTCTGCTCTGCTGCACATAATCGTCTTTCATCTATAACTATAAAGTAGCAATCAGCCATGAGATAAGGTAAGGCAGAAAGCTTGTTGCTTTAACCGTGTCCACAGCAGAAGGGAGCTTTAAGCAGTACTGAAAGCACTGTGTTTATCGACCATAACTTTAAAGATGATAAGGTTGGTCACTGCCATAAAATCTCAAAGGCCTCGTAGCTGAAGAATGATGACTTTTGCATGGTATGTTTAAAAGGTTTTCTGGCTGCAGGATAGATGCAAACTATAGGCATTAATGAGTAACATACAATAATTTGACATAATAAAAGATACAGATTAATATGCTGTGTTGTCTTTATTATTCTCTCTAAAAGGTAAGGCAAAGAAATGTTGATCTATATCAAAAATTTTTGGGGATGACAGTGGTGCTACACTGGTAGCATCGTGCAAAAGCCATTCTTTAGATCTAAATGTTTATTTTGTTCATTGTATTTAATATATAGCACTTCATTTACGCCTACTGGCAGTTTAACTGGAGGCATAATACCCTTTGCATAAAACTGAAGGACAATTCTGATGATCTTTTGATCACAAGTTGAGTCATACTGCCCTCTGGTGGTAAAACAGGCTCTGCACAACCATAAATGTTAATAAAAATCAACGTAAATAAAGAGGGGTGTTGATTTATGGAATAAAAAAAAACATTATTTCTCTTCACAAATGTGTCACATTATTAATATCTTATTTCTAGTAAAGGAATTAGCCATTTTGGAAAAGATAACTCTTATAAGTGGTAACAAGAATACAGTGCCTTTGCGAAAGTATTTGGCCCCCTTAAACTTTTTGACCTTTTGCCATATTTCAGACTTCAAACATAAAGATATAACATTGGATTTTTTTGTGAGATTCAACAAGTGGTGACACAATCATGAAGTGGAACAAAATTTTTTGGATATTTTAAAATTTTCTAACAAAAAACTGAAGATTGGGACAATAATTAATTATAATACAATTAACTCATCGACCACTTTACTTTCAGTGTAGCAAAGTGTCTCCAGAAGTTTAGTGAGGATCTCTGAATGATCCAATGTGAGCATTAGATTTAAGAAGAAACTTTTGGTACGTCTGTAAAGGTAAGATGTCATAGAATGGTTTTCTGGTGTCAGCACCATTGTAGCTTTGACCCTGCCTGAAATATTAGGGACAAAATACAAAATATTTAGCATTTTTTGAACCTCGCCAAAATTTTCTTTGAAATAAACATTGCAAAACACTACCAAAATATTATTTATAGCACAAAAAAGTAGTACAGACTTTTAAATCTAAATGTTGTATAAAAATGTACCAAATTTGGACTCAATCAGATGAATCATATTTATTTTAGAATGGTATTAGTGAGAAATTTCTTAGGCGGAGAGGCCATTTTGGCACATTTATCCATAAATGTCACCAAACTGTGCCAAATGTGTTTTTTACATCAATACTGGGGGTTTGTTAAAATTACGAGGTCACGTAGCAGCTGGACCCGCCGGTGGGTCCGTAGGGTTCTAGGGGTTAATGACTGATGATGATAATAGAATCCAACTGTGTGTAATCAAGTCTCCGTAACATGTTTCCCTGCTTTGTGATAGTCTCAGAGGGCTGTTTAAAGTGCAGAGAACATCATGAAGAACAAGGAACACACCAGGCAGATCCGATACGGATTTGGATAAAGAAATAACTTTAAAAATCCCAAGAAGTAATGTGCAAGCAATAATATTGAAGTGGAAGGAGTATCAGACCACTGGGAATCTATAAAGATCTGCACTCTGGTCAGATGAAACCAAAACTGAACTTTTTGGCAACAGTGCAAAACATGTTTTGTGTGAAAGAAACACAGCTCATCACCCTGAAAACACTATGCCCACCGTCAAACATGGTGGTGGCAGCATCATGCTTTGGGCCTGCATGGAGGGAGCCCATTACCCGACCATTCTGTTAGGATACCTATTGGATTCTGCAAAAGACCTGAGATTTGGACAAAGATTTATCTTCCAACAAGACAATGATCCAAAACATAAATCTAAATCTACAATGGAATGGTTCACAAATAAACATATCCAGGTGTTAGAATGGCTACGTCAAAGTTCAGAGCTGATTGCAATGGAGAATCTGTGGAAAGATGCTCTCCGTCCAACCTCACTGAGCTCCAGGTGTTTTGCAAGGAAGAATGGGCAAAATTTCAGTCTCTCAATGTGCAAAACTGCAACTTGCAGCTGTAAACACAGCAAAAGGTAGCGTTACAAAGTTTTAAATGAAAGGGGGCAGAATAATGTAGCATTCCTAATTCTTCATTTCTTTACTCATTAAAAATAGTTTAAAAATGAAATGTGGGAAAAGGTTGAAAATCCCCCCCCCCCCCCCCCCCCCGAGTACTCTCTCAAGGCACTGTAACATTCTAACGTGCTGCATTCCAAATATGTAAATTACATAATTTTGCCAAATAAAAAAAAGTTTCTAACACCTGTAAATATTTCTGAGTTATCAAAAAGAATATTTTATAGACCCACCAATGCTCCACAAGGAATGATTTGCTTTTTGACAATTATTACCTAATAATAGGTATTATCCTTTCTTGTTACACAACACATTACTGCAGAAAAAAAATATGTTGCATATAGTTAAAAGATTCCTGCAGAATATTTTGGACAAACCAATGTGAAAATATGCTAAAATTCAGCTCTTTAGATTTCATTGCACAAGTTTAGCACATAAATAACCCTTCATATTAGCCTAATCAACACCATGATGGTCAGATTTAGAGATGGGAGCATCATGATACGAGGCCAGAGATTTGTGGAGAAGGGGGTATGTTAGCATTATTATAGCAGACTGTACATAATTAAAGAAAGGAAATTAAATGTCCCGATTAGAAATATTGTTGAAATATTTGATTATTTTTCATTTTTGACACACAAAAATGAAACAAGCAAACAAAAAAATTTTTTTATCCTGAACAATTATTCAGCCTTAGACATTAAAAGCTCAGTCATCACTAAACTTTAATCAGATTTTTGGAAACCAAATACTCTTTAGTATTATTACAAATGTATGTACCGAGTAAATTGTCACATTTAGCCTTACCCAAACGAATGGCAAAACTGCATTGCTTTGAGTTTTAAAGTGCAGCATGCCACTTTGATGACATGACTACAGTTGAAGTCTGAAAAAAATACACCCTCATATGGAGCCTAAGCAGAAATTCAACTGAAGAAACTCCTTGTTTTTTCATACATCAGCAATCACCAATCAGCTTTGAACCACACCTCCACGAAAGCCAATCGGCATCCAAAGTTCATCTTAAAAGGCCTCCGTCAGCTACTATGGGCAGGCGGTGGATGCGCTGTGACTTCATTCAGATGACACAGTTTACACCCACCTCCAGCCCCTCCTTCACCATCATAGCTAAAGCTTCATCAGAGTGTGATTCCTTCCGGACTCTTACTGCGTTACCGGTCTCATCTCAACCGGTCCGGCAGAAGACCCCCATGTTGAGCCTGGTTCTGCCAGAGGTTTCTTCCCAATGCAGAGTTTTTCCTCTCCACTGTCGCTTCATGCTTGTTCATCATGCAGAGGTTCTCCCAACCTGTGTCATCCAACTGGACTTCCATCTTCCAGGTCCCTGAGTGAAGCTCTAGTATCAGCCCACGCAATCCACTGGCTCAGCAGACCGTCTCACTAACCAGCAGTTTACAGACAGACCAACTTCATCTATCTCCACTCCACCACCAGTTTCAGGCCTGGAGGGAAACATTCTTTGCTCCTGTTCATGCAGATCTATAAAAATTCAGTGGTATGTTTCCTGCCGAGGTCTGAGCGCCAAAGACAAAGTAATTGTATCAATAATTTCTCCTAATTGCTTTTTCTCTTTGTGTGAGTTTTTCAGATTGAAATGGAAGATGACATGACTCATTGGTTTACTTTGTAAAACATTCATTTCATTACTGTAACTGGGAAAAGCACCTTATTTTCTTTTTTTCTTTTTTTTTTAACAGTGTCCTCTCTGGCAATGTGGCAATAAGAATAATTGTCTTGATGCCAAAAAGAGCAATTGCAATTGCCATATTGCTCCACTTGTTTCATGCATATAAATTGCTTTATTATAATTATGCAGGGAGTTTTACAGTTTATACGGAAACTGCAATGTAAATAGAGCAGAAAAAAACAGAAGAAGAAAGGAGAAAAAGAGAAAAAAAAGAGAAGAGATGAAAGAAAGAAGAGATAGAAAGGAGACAATGACCATATTTTCATTTCAGCTAATTCAGGTCTACTTAATTCTTTTGATTCAAAAAGGGGGGGGGGGGTGACAAAGGCAAACATGGAGGTATGGATTGCTGATGGTTTTTAGAGATCTTCAAACAATCATTTTTTTTTTTGTCCCTTGAGTAAAGAGCAGATAGAGGCAAGGCAGACACAGAACGAGAAGATTGCAGTGAATTAGGAATAACTCAAACACATCTCAGCAACTGGATTATAGAACTGGTGCGATCAAACAAAAAAGACAGTAACACTATACTGATTATGAGTACCAAATTTTAGTATGAAATTGTATCAGTTCCACATGTAAAACAATAAGTTTAACAAGAACAGAAACACTGCATTAAGCATAATATTCAGATGTAAGTCTGAAATAAAAATATTACTCTAACGGCAATCATTACTACCACACAAACGGAAAAAAACAACTATTTGACCTTCAAATAATAATCTAACATTGGCAGTTAAACTAAATATTTTTGACCTGGGCTTAATTTGACTGAAACATTTTCAAGTATCTGAAATTGAACTGGAAATCCATGATTAATATACTTATCAGCCCTGAGTAGATTAATATTAATAACGGCAGAAACAATGTACTGTAAAAGACAAGATACTGTGCAACTGCAGTAATCTTGAAAAAACAGTTGACTCCTGATGCATGATTGGCCAAAAAAGAGGGTTATGTTTCACATTTCTAACTTAAGGACCCCTTTAGTTTCAACTCAATAAAACAAAGTTAGTATCCATTAGTATTAATGGGGTCAGCCTGTGTTCATTTTTGGCTAAACAATATCCTTTGAAATGTTTTTGGCATAATATGAAACAAATGAAACAAAAAAACCAGATACTAAATTTAAATCAGTCCTGCCAGAAGTGCAGCCAGTTGTACATGCTGGACTGTTTTGAAATGAGGAAGCTGTGCAGTTATGATGGCGGAGCTCCAGCTTCGATGTTGGTAGGCGGGTTTGTCTTGTGGAATGGGGTTTCTTTGTATATGAACCAACAGTTTCCTCCCCACAGGATGAGGTTAAGGAACCCAAATG